ACTACAAAAGGTCCAACTAGAAATATTATTAATCATTTAATAACTATGCATCAAATATTTAAAAATACTTCCTTGTCTAATACAGTAATTAAAAGCCTACTAAAAGCAAATCTCGTATACTACTAACCCAAGAATAGCAAAAATATCTTGAATCATTTCTTTACGAATAGATTATTTTAGATTCTTTGCCATTACAAGCACTTAAGTCTTTTGCGTCTTGACATTTCATTAGCAATCTTAACCTGGATTTTAATATTCCTAGTAGTAAAAAATTCAAAAATAAAATTTTTGAATCTAGAAATCATATTAATCAAAAAATTTCTGAAACGTTAAAGTACGAAGCAAATTGGGTATCACTTACATGCGATTTATAGACGTCTTATTTTAAGATGAAATTCTTTGGAGTTATAGCGTATTTTATAATATCTAGTTTTGAATTAAAGGAATATATCTTAGCAATTAAATATTTACCATATCCTCATATGGGTAATAATATAAAAGAAGCTCTTGAATCTATTATATGTAAATAGAAGTTAAAAGACATGATGTTCTATTATACAACTGATAATAGTATCAATATAAAAAAAGTACTGAGACAAATTTCTTGGCTTCAAAAGGTTCCATGTGCAGCATATACTATTCAGTTGGTGGTTAGAAAAGGAATATTGCCTGCCAAGGTTCTGATCGCAAGAGCAAAAAGGTTAATAAATTTTTTTACCTGTCTTAAAATGAACGGTTAATAAATATTCAAAAACAACATGTTTTTGAAATAAATAATAAGCAAGAATCACAATTAGTTGTATATTGTATACTTACTGATTGTGAAATCTAGTGGTTAAGTACTTTCTATACTTTGGATCACCTTTTAATCTTAAAACCGTTTATTGATATTCTCTCTACTGCTATAAATATAAAAAATACCGAATATGAAACAAAAAAAGATAGAAAACAATTAAAAAAAATTAATTTACCTCCTAAGAAATGGTCAGTTATGAAAGATATCATGCCTATCCTAAAACAGTTCGCTAAAGCTATAGAAAAGTTAGAAGAAAGTCAATATTTGACCATGAGTTATATATACCCTGCAATACAAAAAATAAAGTCAAATCTAAGTTTTTTTTCAAAACCTACTGATGTAAATAAAAATCAAGATGAATTAGATGATGCATTTGATAAATGACAAATAGAGGATAATGAAGAAGAAAATGAACCAAATACAAAATAAAAAATAAAAATTAATAATTCAATAAATACTTTTAGATTAATTAAAACTATTAAAAGTAAGTTCTATCATGTACTAAATTACTATTACGATAACTTGAAACTTGATAGACTTGTTGCTTTGCTCTTGGATCTATGTTGGAAAAGTTTGTTGTTCATATCTAATCAAAAAAGAATGGAAACAATTAATGAATTGTACCGTTTATATGAAAATGAAAAGTCTAAACATCATGAAATAAACTTATCTGAAAAATAAGAAAATAAACCTTTATACAAGAAACAAAGAACAAAATTATATAGCGAAAGTTTGTTCAGTTCTTTTAGTTCTAATGCTGATAAAGTTGACAGATATTTAGCATTACAAGAAATTCTAAAGGACCAAGACACACTTATCTGGTAAAAAAGCAACAAAAAAATTTTTGCATTCTTTCTAAACTTGCAAGAAAATATTTTGCTATTCAAGCAACATCAGCTACTAGTGAAAAACTTTTTAGTGATGCTGGAAATATTATAACAAGTAAAAGAACATCTCTAAAGCTGGAGGTATTTGAAACTTTAATATTTTTTAAAAGAAATGGACCAGTAGTTAGTGAATCTTTAACAATAATAGTTAATACAACAAATAGTATTAAATATTGAAGTTTATAAAATATATATCATTATGTATGTATACATATAATAAATAAATATTATTCTACTTTTAAATTTTTTTTTTTAAAAAAAAAAGATCTAGTTCAATATAATCATAGAATAAAATCTCCTATATTAAGTTGGTTTGGGTGAAATGATACATAGCAATAATTAAAAAACTTTAAAATTTTTGATAATTGCTATTATACTAATTAGAGAAATATATTCTAAATTAAGTGATGAATAGTAGCTTACAGTTTTACTAATTATAGTAATACAGGAATTATTCAATATGATACTAATCATCACATAGTTGGAAAGTTTAAACAGTACAGTATGTACATCACATAGACACGAAAAAATTCATATACTGTATATATAGATATGAATAACCAGGATTTTTAGTACAAACCAGTATAAAATGGAATTTTTGACAGCAATGAAGATATCAAGAAATATGAAATATAGTATTAGTTGGAAAGTTGCAGAGTTGTAGAAAGTGAGCTCTCCATCTAGAAAATGTGTACTTATAGAGATCTAATTATAACGCAAAATAATACCTAATTACTTTTAATGTAATATATTATATTGCGAAGTTAAATTGTAATCAAATAGCACTTATGAAGAAAAAAGAAGCACTTGCGGAGAATTGGCTATATAGATAAAATAAAGTAAAAAAATCTTATATCATTATAAAAAGGATTTTTTTACTATATTGAAATAAATTTTTTAGTGTTAATAATATATATCGATCAAGTTAGAGTATCGATCAAGTTAGATATATATACAGTTATTCATTGAACACCTATAGTTTAATTTACGAATATCTACAGATTTTGTGTAACCAGGTAGTAGATATTTAATGAATATCTATTTTCATCCATGAATATTCACAGATTCGATCTCTATATCAAACAATACTTCTTGATTTCGAATTAAATTAATAATATATTTATTATATTAATAATTTATAAATTCTATTTATTTTTATTTGTAAGCTTATTTATATAATAAATTAATACTTTTTATAATTGTAAATTTCTTTCAAAATTTTATATCATTACTAAAATGCTTTATATTACAAGTAAATATAATAGAAAAATATCTAATAATATCTTAATGAGTTATTGATCAATAATTTATTAATTTATCACATTATACCATATAATAATATATATATCAAAGAAAATTTACCAACACCTATTTCATTTACTGATCTTGAAAATTTTAAAAGAAATAAACCTTTTAAACTCTTACTTATTTTCAAAATAGATTAACTTTAAAACACCTAACAGGTATAATCTCACAATAGACTATTAAATGCTGAATTGACGAATAAGATAGAACTTC